CACACACACACACACACACACACACACACACACACACACACACAAGGCCTGCCTCCACATACAGCACTACCAAAGAGGCCTCTTGTCTTGCTGTAATGGAGAGGAAGGAAATTTACTTAGACAATGCAGGCATTGTAACTTGATTGCTTTGGATTTCCAGGAATACCAGTGAGACAACAGCCCTGGACTTACCAATAATGGTGGTAGACCCTAGATCAGTCATTATTTTATACCCCTACAGTTACTGACACAAACAGAGACACTAGTAACAGCAGTCACTAGTAGTGACTGGTTAAACTGGAAGTCAGAACAATAAACAACGCAATAACAGCTTATCTGTGGCATATCAGGCATGATATCTGACGACAATCTCTAAAAGATGATGTGGGTAGTCCATAACTTCCCTGTTCAAAGAAACTATTATTTTAAATTAAGCAGATGATGAGATTTAAGCTTTTTCTATGAACAGCTCAAACAGAGAAAGAATAAATAAATAAATGATCTTTAAATCCACAAGTCTGTGCATATTTGTGTGAAAAAAATCCTTAAACTTTCCAAATACCCTCCATTATTTGTTCATGTTTACACCCAACATGTCTTTTAATATTGAGCCTAATAATACACCCATAGTGTTTATTAAAAGATAAACAAAAACCTTTATATAAGAGGGCGGACAGATGTTTGTAAGAAGCTGAGATTACACTTGCACGCTTATTGAGATTACAATGTCATTTAGGTGGTGACTGCTTAAACATAAAACATATGGGATGTAGGGGATAAAAGGAGGAAAAGCAGGCTGCTTATACTCCATTTTCTGTCCAACGTGACAGCTTAGCCTCTTTTGTGCACTGAAACAACATCCCAGTTATCTAATATTTCAGCGTGCACAGAGAGGAGCTGTGAGGGGCAGTGGACAGCCTTCATGAAGCTTCCCAGCATTCTGCACATGGATGCAAGTAAGAAAAGTGCTGGACGACAACACAATCCTAACTTATTCAGAGCAACAGAGTCAAACTGAAACCCTGGAGGTCAGTATATTTATACCACAGTTAAATCTGCAGTGAAGCTGAGTAAAGAAAAAGCAGTCAGCTGTCTTAGCATTCAGTGTTAGAAGCTCTGTATAATAATAATAATAAAAATACCAACCTATCACCTACATTTAAAACTGTTCTGCTATCCACACATACCCCCCCCCCTCCAATACCACCCACTCCACAGCCCCCTCAGTGTTCCAGAGAACCCAGCGTGACTACTGATATCTTATCATTATTAAATAGTGCAGTACTGAGAAGTAGACTAAAACATAGTGGATTCGCTGGATCGCTTTACCTACGCAACTAGGTCATTTCCAGTTTCACAATTTAGTGCCGAGGAAGGTGGTGTTTTTGCCTGTGGAAAAGCTTCATGAAGATATGCACAGTGTGCACAAACGGTGAACACACAGCTAAAAGCTGTACTTGGCAAACATAATTAATAAAATATCGCCATATTCTTTAATCCCAAAGTATTTTTTTTTTCTTTTATGTTGGCAGACGGTAGCTTCCAGCCTTCTTCTCAACACACCAACTGCAAAAAAAAAAAAAAAAGATCACAGAATCCCAACATCTTAGGCAACAAAGCTGCTGTTTAAGAATCCTGAAAATAAGAGTGAATCCTGTTGAAAACGAATCACCAGCCCTCAAGTGAAGAGCACACTTTTACCTCATGGAAACATTTCAGAAAACGGTGACTACCACTTTATGCTTGACAGCAAAGCGGTACGGATGTAAAAACAATTCAGCATGCTCTTCTATTAACAGCTTCATGCAACTTCAACTTTAAAATTTACTCTATGTTTTCATGTATTACTACATCTCATATGTAATGTTGCAAGGCAAATACAAGACCGTGCCAACAGACTTAATGATGAAATTTACTGTCAGACTTTACTACTTCATTAGTGCTCCACCAGCCAAAATTCTGCTCAGGGACATACAGACAACAGCAATTAGTAGTTGCACAGTACCAATACTGTGTTTACATTTACAGACATATTTTTTAAAAATCATCCACAAATACATTTAAATAAATACCAGACAGACAGTTCTTTCAAACCTAATCAGCGCCTGTAGTGTCGTTTATGATAACAGCAAAAAAAAAAAAGGAGTGAGCTCATGGCATGACTTTATGCATAATGTAGGACAGAACAATAAGCTTCTCAATGGTGGTCTAGGTTTGAGAACACACAAAAGATTGTAGCCACAGTCTACGAGTTTTACAAAGCATTACAACCAATAACAATGTGAGATATTCTGAATCATAGTTTCCAGATGTCAAACTCTGGAGTGTCACCACATTTCGACAACTGCAAGCGTATATCTAATTAGAGCGAACAGGTGTAGGTGCAGCATGAGCTCTTTTATTCCAGAGGTCGGCTCTCCAGCGCGCATTCCTTGTACGTCACTCTATGAGAGGCGGGGGTGAAGGCAGTCATGACAAGGCTACCTGTGTTGCTGAAATGTCACTGCCAATCTGCGACAGAGGGCTAAGACGGCCTGGATTACAGATCTCTGCCTGCAACAACAGATGGCCTAGCTTCCGTCATACACGCTGCTGAGGGCCAATCTGGGAGAGTAAGGTCCGTCACACAAACAACAGGCAGACATGCCAAAATTACACACAGCAAAAACAAACACACACATTTAAAAAAAATATGTAACAAAAACAAAAAACAAAAACAAAGAAAAAATCCTCATTGAATTATTATGTGTAGCAGCTGATCACAAAGCAAACAGCAACACTATGTCTAATTTATTTGTGCATGTATGTTGTTTGTAAAAGTAACTCGAAGCTAATAGCACCCTTAATTGATTTCTTTATCTCATACAATAAATACAGAAGTTGCAAAGAAGAAAGATGTATATATTACTCACTGGTGATATTTCTTCTGCTAAAAATAGGAAATGCTAGTCAGTTCTTCTGTATTTGTGCCATTTTTATTAACTTATTGTTTACTGAAATAAAGTTAAATGCAATACAGCATAAAAAAATTAAATAGGAGAAATGATACTGATAGATACTCTGAGATTTTTTGCTGTTTGTGAATATTAACATTCACCTAAATGTATCATTAAATGAAGTGCAGCTGGGAGCAGGCAGCGATGGTCATAAATCGCACTGAAAAATAGTCCATGATTAGAGAAGCATTTCAGAATCAGTATTAATAGTAAACACATGTCCCCACTTTAACTTAAACAAAGACTGTTACATAATCTTCAGAGATGTAGGCCCACAGCCTGATAAGCTATCTGAAGACATCGATGAAGCAGATACTACATATTTACACTTCTTTATCCAACCATCAGAAAGACCCAGTCCTGCCCTCTACTCACTGAGCAGCTTCAAAATGGAAAATGAGTCAGGAGTATTATTATTGGCAGAGCCAGCACCATCAGATACGTGCTACTGTGCAAAGCTGCAAAGGCCCAGTTTGGCTGCGCGCCCAGAGACACATGTTCAAATTGGCTTATATCCTCGATTTCATTTCTAATAACAAGAGCCCGTTTGCCTGTACTGATATTCCTTTCATCACTGTCACCGGACCAAAATGCTTACCAAAGTGTAATCTATACACAAGAGTTTAATATCAGCTTTAATATCAGAAGTGAGTAAAAGCCTGCTGGAACTAGTTTACGTCAGAAACATCTGGAGGCCAGAGGAGTTGCGGGAAAATCAATAAGGACCGTGAGTAAATAATACCTGTACAAAAAGATTTCTCCAGCTTAGGTGTCGAGATTAAAAGAGAACTCTCAGTTCACCGTTTCAGGTTTCTGCTTGCCCTAGCTTACTTGACATAATCAAATGAGAGCAGGTCATATAGACTTAACAGATACACCAATCTCACAGCCTCGCTACAGATATGAGATATAATATTGCTCATTTTCTTCTAACAGCATTTCCTGACCACTGCGGGCTTCCTCAGAAGGACAACGATCCTTGCTACACAGCAAAAACAGATCTGCAGCAGAGTGCGAAACACTACAAAGAGCACAAGGTGTTGATCCAGACTGACTGAGCATCCACAAGAACAAGCCCAACCCACAAAAGACCCCAGCCCAAAATGAACAGGATCCATTATTGTTTGAAAATGTTTAGTTTTACAGAGGGCATATGCCTCAACAAACAGATACTAAAAGTAAGTATTTCCTCTATATTTTTATACATTTAATCATTTCAGCTGTACATTTTTTTAAAGGTGTAGTTTTTATTTTAATTTTAGGTAACTAAATGTTTTTAGTTACCGGTCTTCACTCATCACTATTCTCCTTGTGGCAGTCACACAGGACATTACCTAAGGTCCTGTATCCATCCCCTCATATGTCAGAGCTATCGCCCTGCACAAGAGGAGCCCACTATATTATATTATTAGGCAGGCAATTTTAATATTGTGGCTCATCTGTGAAGATCTTCAGTTCCACAATTCCAATATATGATGACCATGCACCTCTTAAAACAAATTCACACTAAACTCTTTGTTCAAAAGCATACCGTACTTAGAAAGCTTAATGGCTACAGCTTGACTCTCACAGACGTTTCCAGATAAGAAAACTTCAACCCTAGAAACTTTTATAAAAGACATCAAAAAACTCTATGACAGCACTGTACTAATCATATTATACCGCACGATAATGATAGTCATACTCACTTCCCATGATCTTTAGTCCACTTTTGAACATGTCAGCAGCTGTAGGATTCCAGTTTGCTGTGACACCTCAAGCTTCAACTACTTTTATCCAGGATCTACTAGCAAGACCATGTGAAAGCTCCAGTCACCCCACTACCCCACCTTTCTAGCACAGTCTCAGTATTTGGTTTGCTGTGAACTTTGATCTTTGTTTTGGAACATGCAGTTTCTCTCTCTCTCCCTCTTTTTTTTTGGGACAGATGACAGATGTTGCTCAAGAACTACATGCGCCTGACGCCTTATCTGGGGTGAAAAACATACTGATTCGGTAAAGAAATAACTTAAAAAACAAACAGTGCAAATCCCACAAGAAGACTGTTTGTTTTAGGTAAACACATTACTTTGTGCTATAATGAGCACTGTCACATCAGAGGTACGCGAAAGCTTTGATCAGTTCATGTGTTTGCCAAGGGTGATCTTTCATACAATGAGCTGAACTCACACAAGTGCAAGTCCAATCAGGGCCGGCATAGACCTTAAATACATCATTTTAAAAGTCAATAGAGAGTCACATGTGACTACTTGCATTTGATAATTTGATTTTGTATTAATGTCACCTACAAAAACAGGGGGACATTAAGTCTTACCCACTGGCTATACCTGGCTCGCTCCATTCTCGTCTTAAAAGCTAAAAATCTATGCAGTATTCTCCGCATCACAAAAATCCTCTCTAAAAGAGTCTACTTATTCGACATTTTTGACAGCACTCCCTACAGCTCTGTAGTCATTGCCTATACTAATACTGTTGAAGAACTGTGATTGGCTTCCCTGTAACTAAAATTAAAATTACTTACTCAACGTTGACACCTCATACTGAGATTATTGCAAGATCATTGCATCTGCAGGTCAGGACAAACATTTTTCGTATTGTGATTGTCACCCAGCTGTTACACAAAGAAAGAAAAACATACTGGCTGAGTGAGGTAAAGAAAAAACCTACACATAATCAGCGCAATTGACGACAGGCCTAAAGTACAGAATCAATGTGACTCAGCATTGATTCTGTACTTTAGGTATTTGTATATCAAAACATCCAGGCTGTACTAACCTCACCTGAAACATATGAACTTTTAAGTCTTATCTAGGCCAGTGTCCATTTATTTGATCGAGTTTAGTTCGCTTCACCAAGCACGCAGTATTGTGACAGCTACTTCTAATAAACGCAAATGCCTGTGAGATGGGGAGAACAGTGATTAAACAACCGGCATTTGTGAATCGACACACTAAAATCCAAAAGCACTTGCATTACTTTGACAACACGTACATTAGCGTGATGCAGTGCCTGCAGGCCAGGACAAACATGTTTAGCCATTTATGTGACAGATTGGTTATAATCAAACAAAGATAGCAGCAGCCAAGCGGCCAGATGTCTGCCTCAGCACGACTGCTAGCTTTACTACAGATTGCAAAGACATGTGGCACAATTGTAGTAGCATGGCCGTGGACACATGCTGGCTGCATGTATGTTGCACATGATCAGTTTCTCTGTCTGGGAGCTAAACTATGAAATCAGGAAATATGTCTACCATATATTGCTGGGGTTTGAAATATGAACAGAATGACAGAATGGATTTCAATATTTTACACAAAAGGCAGGTAGCATTGCTTAAATGGACATCACTGAAGCTGCATCACTTGCTACATAATGCATACCCCATTTAGCTGGTTTACCTGTTGGTATAGTGATGTGCAGCAGGGTGAACACAGAGACCGACAAAAACAGGAAGGAGAGGAAGCAGCTCCTACATCCTGCTACATAAAAACATCAGAGAATGAAAAATAAGCTACCAGTGGTCCCACCAGCTTCCAGCAAGGAAAATATAAAACGCCTCTTCAGCACTGAAGCCTCGTTCTGATGCACTCCCTGAATGAACCGGAGGAAGGAGGAGGAGGGTATACTGGGGGGCGGAGGAGTAGGACAGCCAGCATGTCTTTCAAGAGATATCATATGCACTTGCAAGCAGACTTACAGAACCAGCATCCTTCTGTAGTGTACAGACAAACAGGCTGTAGAGGATCAGAGCTGAAGGAAGAGGAGAGTGCCTTGCTGCTGGAGGATGCAGCCAGCATTTAGTCCTTTGTGCGTTGTGTCAGCAAGGATTACCGCCGTGGAGGAGGAGGAGGAGGAGGTGAGAGGGAGGAGGAAGGCCAGGAAAAGCGGCTGCCTGATGAGCGCTGCATTCAGCTTGACGTTCCCGTGGTCTCACATAAAAAACAGGCCAATGGGCTTTGCTCTGTAAAGGCTTCCTCTGATGCTATACTCCATCACTGAGGGACGTGAGCATCGGCAGCACGCATGTGAAGCTGACACGCTGTGTTTACAGAAACAAAACAAAAAAAAATGCAAAAACACATGCGCATCAAGCTCTGCATAAGGATGCACAGCCCTCTCTTTCATAGCCCGTGGGGACAACATTCGCTCTACTGCCAATAAGCAGACAAGCAAAGGACACAGAGCAGGGGGGAGGGGCATATGCTTCAGGGGGAGGGTCTGGATATTGTGTTTTGTGTTGGGAGATTGCTCAGGGAAATGGAAAGGGGTGGGGCTGGTTATGGTTTCTGATGAATGGGCATCTGCC